CGGCCCAGACAGCAGGACTGGCCGAGCCAGTCCAGCTGGGCACCGACCCTCCCAGGGACTCCTGGCCCCAGCAAAGCGCAGAGAAGTTGGGCTGCCAAAGCTGTAGAGATGCAATAAATACTCCCCCCTCATGCTCTTTACCCTGGGAAGTCACATCCAAGGCTGCCACTGCGCTGCTTTTCACTGCTTGGAGTGTAAGATGTGCCGTCCCTGGGACATGTGCGGCCCCACCGCCTCCAAGAGACCCCTGGCTTGGAAGCCTCCCTCTGGGCAGGAATCCAGCACAGCTGTGGGCTGCATCTCCTGGAAGGGCAGAGGCGCCGAGCCAGCAGTGCTTCCCAGCCCGGGCAGACAAACAGGAATGGCAAGGACTGCTGCTTTCCTCCTTATTGCTACCAGTGCCCTGCAAACATGACTCAGCACCTGACTTGCAACACGGACGCCTGCCTGATCATTCACAATCCTGTGACCCTTTCCAAGGGGGAAGGTCCCTGAGCACCAGCTGTGCCGAGCTGAGCTCCCCGAGCAGTTTCAAACCAACCCCAGGCTCAGGAAGGGCAGCGCGATTCCTCAGGCTCAAGGGCCCCGCCATCTTTCTGCGCATAGTCGGAGGTTTCCAGTCCCACCCGTTTATCCACCCAGTCTCCCCTTTTATATTAGAGATACAAAAAATAAGAGGCATGCTGACATACAGGACAGCAACAGGCCTTTTTCTTCCCTCTGAGGACAGCTTGCGCCCACTGTCTGTGGGGACATAGCAGCAGCTGGCACCAGTGCAATGTTTCTGGGCAAACAGCCCTGTGATGTGGGCACACATTGCACATACTGACAGCAATGAGGAAACTGAGGCAGGCAGCGAGCAAAGGGACACTCCCACTTGGGAAGTTTGAAGTCATACAGAGAAATCTGCGCTGCATCCAGCAAAGGATAACACACTCCTTCAGCCCATTTCAGGCGTGACCCCTGCCCGCGTCCCCGTCCCCACGGCCGTTTATAATCCCTTCTTCTCCACCCCCCTTCTCCAGCCTCACCAGGGCACAGGCCAGGCAGGGCCCTGCTGGGCGGTCCCTTCCCCAACCCCATCAAGCCCTGGCTTCAAACCAGGCGGGTCCAGAGCCAGACAGGTCAGGCGGGG